ACTGCTGGATTGTGGAACAGGAGGAGATTTTTAACCGATAAAATGTCTGAACGTAAAGATTGTCAGAAAGGAAGTTGTGGCTCCTTTCTGGATGTGGTTTTCTGGGATGTTTTCGATGGAATTTACCTTTGAAAGTGGTTTTTTTTTTCTGATGGGTGAAGCATTTCTGATACTTCCCTTATTGGTACCATTAGGATGTCTGAAATCCTTCCCATCCTTTAAGGCTGAATAGAATCGTCTGGGCCAGGAAAGCAGGTTCCAGATGAGAATGGAGCGTCACACCAGAGTGGGGGCAGGATCCCCAAACTGCTGATGGACCAGAAACACAGCCAGAGCCACGGGACGAGATGTTTGGGCACTGGTGGGTGCAGAAACCATGGATGTCCACGTTCGCCTGTGCCAGAGGCTGCAGTGGTGCAGGGGGTGGCTGTGCTGAGCATGGCGCCTGCTGAAGTGCTGAGAAACCCAAAAAGTCCCAAACTGGCCCAATCGCAGGTGAAAGTGACAGTTGCTTCTGGAGAGGGGCCAGTCACCCAGCCCAGGTCCCGCACACGTCACCCCGTGGTGCCTGTTCCCTCGTTTCTCATCAGTTTAACGTCTCCATTGCAGCTGCTGCAGCAGTTCCTCAGTCTCCTTCACCCTCATCTGTCCCACTTCCACCTCCATGGGCTGTTTGGGGTCTGGTGGTCCCGGTCTGTGGCTTTGCTCTGTGACTCTGCCCAGCTGGAGGTGACACAGAGGCTGGAGAGGTGTTTGCTGTGACCTTAGGCAAGGGACCGAGTCCCCTCCTGCCCCTGCATCCCCAGCTGCCCGCCACTGTGGGATTTCAAAGCCAGGCACATCTCCCAGGGTTTGCATGGCAGCAGGATCCAAACTCACTGAGAAATCAGGTGCTCCACAAATACTGATTTGAAAAGCAGATAGGTGAAAGCAGCCAAGGAAATCTTATTTTCTGTGTTACTTTTATTTTAAACCCCGCTCCTCTGAGGATTGGGAACACAGGGCTTCCTGCCTTGGAAACCCTGTTCTTCAGCTCCATTTTAAAAACATGAACCAGCACCTGAATTCCAGCTCCTCACCCAGGTCTCGCTCAAATAAAGTCACTAACTTTGACAGAGGGACAGGAAACAGGGAGGTGATTCAGCAGCAAAGTTCCTGATGAACAACAGCACGAAGCGTGACACACCAGTAAGAAGCTGTAGGTGTTTGTAATGACCAGGTGCCAAAAATATTCCCCGAGCTGGAAATCCTGAGACACCAACAACTCCCCCGTTCGCTGCATTGCTGCGATTCGGGCGCAGACTGAAGTACCGCAGCTTAAAAGTCCAATTTCATTAATGTTTTGCCTTTCTCCGCAGGCATCTCAGCCCAGCCCCGCCGCTACCAGAGCTGCGTTTCGCCACTAGGAAGCGTACAGCCCAAATCACTCTGCAACCCAGACACAGGAAGAATAACTCGGCTCTGGCGTAAAGCGGGGCGGGAAGTCGGCGACAGAGCAGAGAATTTGACTATGGGACTGCATCTGCTTGCGCGATGGTGAAAGTCCAGGATTAAAAGAATGATGGGGGGGGAAAAAAAAAAAGGGGAAGGTGAGTAGGTGTAGGAAAGGGTTAGGTTCAGTGTCACTACTACAGCCAAACTTGCTCTCAAAAAAAAAAAAAAAAAAAATCACTGGATTAGGCTAATATAGCAGATAAAAATGAGTGCTGAAAGCTCTAATCCAAGATGACTGTGTTCACAGCAAGAGGAATTCCTGTGCAGCTGTGAGCCTCAGCCTTCCCAGCAAGCTTCTCTCCTCCAGGTCTGGAATGACAGCGAAGTCTGGGATCGTTTCTCCGCTGAGCCGACACCAGTTGCAGCCACAAACCACGTTACAAGCTGCTATGGAAGGCAGAACACAAAATAATAATAAAAAAAACCTGCTCCATACCTGTGAGGAGCTCGTTATCGAATATCCTGTTGAGCTGCAGGATGTAAACTGACGATGAGCAGAAACGTTTTTGGAAACCTCAGTGCACGGCCCTACGGTCAGGGTTAACAGCCCACACCTCACCCGAAATTCCAGCCCAGGAAGAGACTCACAGGCTGCTCGGCTGGAAGCCTGAATCAGACTCACAGGTTCACCAGCTCCTGCAGGACAGAAAACGGCCCCCAGGTACCCCAAGGCACGTCCTTGAACCTCTCTCCAGCTCCCCACCTCCTGAAGGAGGAATCCCAGTGCTGACCCAAAGGACCTGGGGACAAACCTGCTTTTAAAAGTAGTTTATTTGGATTTTCCACATCCTTTAATGAATCGCAAATATATTAACAGAAAAGACTTTTTTTTTTTTCCCCTAAGACTGTACAATTTTTGAAATAAAAAGTCAGGAAAAGCAAAAAAAAAAAAGACAAATTACATTGTTTCAATGCAAATAGTACACACCACACCCACACTTTGCATTTTTCCATAGTTTTGTTGTAAGAAAAGGACAGTTCCCTAATTCTTTTCAGTGAACGCGCTTGCTCTAACCTGGCTGCCAGAGTGCCCTCGTGCTCGCCATCCTTCTCCCTGCCCCTCTTCAAAGAGGGCAAATTTTACCCATTAAATGCTAATTTTGTGTAGCTGTTTAGAAGGTAAAATGGCAGCATGGTCTTAAATGTTACTTGATATTCTTGAGAAAAAAGAAAAATCACTTTTAAGGTAAGATGTACATTTAAAGCAAGGGACAGTTTGAAGTATTAAATCTTCCAGGTAGCATGAACATCCTTTTAACATCCCAGTTGAATTAAGAGCTCTTTCCAGTGCATTGAAAATTTTACTACATTTGCTCACAATTTTTTAGAGACCAAAAGAAAAGGGGAAAAGCCACCTCACCTCCTCCACCTCTGGTGCCCATCTAAACACGAGCAGTTGTTAACAGAAGTCTTGAGAGTAGCACCCGATTACTCCTGCTTTTTGCTTAGAAAATATGTTGGGCCCCAAAAAGGAAGCCAATTAACACGTTAATTGGTGGTGTTCACACAAGTGCTGCCCCCAGACCTTATGCTGAGGTGCTGCTTAGGAACAACTTGGGAGGGAAGCAGTGGGAAGCTGTGGCTGGATGGGAAAACCGCGCCGGGACAGACACGGGTAATGCCAAGAGCACCGTGCGGGAGCTCCACCGTGGCTGCGGATCAGCTCTCGGGAAATCTGAGCCTCGTGTCTTCCTCGGGGAGGACTCATCAGGAGAGGGAATCACCCCAGAGCATCTCTCACCACAAAAAGCCGTGCAAGATTCAGTATGCTCAAGCCAGCTGAAACAGGTCATGATTTTCCAGTTGGTTCATCAACCTTCCAGACAGGAGCTGATTGGAATTACATGGCAGAGGCACAAAGCTCTTAATATATTATCATTCTTCAGATTTTAGAAATTCCTTTTCACGCCGTTAGGAGAGTTTAAGCCTATTTTTCACTGCTTATCCTCCTACTTCCAAAAAAAAAGTAAATTCAGATAATTATATTTTTGCTCAGCACTTGAGGATTATTTTTCAAATTATAAAGGTGTCTGTGTGGCTCATGACCAGAGAAGAGCTGTGACAGAAGACATGCCTAGTGTAAAACAAGGAGAGAATTTTAAAAAAATTGAAGTTCTAAAGGTAACTAAGAGACCCCTAAAAAACAACACATGAAAAAAAAAACAGAATGTTAAGACTGATCACAACAAATATGTTGCTATGAAATTTATATCATTCCCAATTTATTACGCATAAATTGCTCTTTAAAACTGCTTATATCATACACTTTTTTTTTTTTTACCATCACTGCATAAAGGGCTCCAATTGTTGCTGCAGAATGCTACAGAGAAAGATCATTTTGGACTCAGTAACATGGTGTGGCCTTCTTTGCACAGAAGCAGCCTCTGTAGAAGAGGAAAGTGTTCCTAGAGTGAAGATATTAAAGAAGAGCTCAAAAAAAAAAAGAAAAAGACAAATAATTGCACATTTTTGCATCCTGCTTGGACCACACTTTACAAAACAGTTTTAAGAAGGACACTAATCTCAGACAATTATTTGATGTGTTTGCCTGTGAGGTTCTGATTGGATTAAGGCTTCCACGGTCTTCCCAGTCTATTTGCCTAGAAACACGCAGTCACCCTGGATCAAGGGTCTGATGTTTCCACATTAGAGTTGTACCTACATTTCTCTCTTGATTCTGCCCTTTATTAACTTTTATTCTTAAGAAGAGAAGAACAAGTCAAGGGGTACAATGAAAAACGAAGCAAGGTGTTGCTGACTTGTTTCTCTGAAGTACAAAGTAAGCACTGACCTTCCAGAAACCAGGTGAATAAATTAATTCTTGGTTAGAACGTGAAAGCGTTTCATGAAAGCTTTGATTCTGCAATGGGATTTCTCCTGCCACGTTTCCACTCCTGCCAGTTTGCACTCTAAGTAGGAACACCGGATATTTTACGTAGTCTGACACGTTCCCAGTCCTGAGCATGTGCATTGAGTTTGTTCACTGGAGACACTGCAGCTTCAAGGTCATTTACATTCCCTGGCATTTAAGTTACGCTACAAGATGCAAAAGTCTTTAACAGCCTGCATTTGTCAACACCGTCCTTGAACTTGGAAATGAGGTTCAGCACTCTGCTTACCAAGAAAGAACCAAACTAAGACACATTTCTGGAAAAAGAACAAGACACTGCTTCATTAGTACTATCCCCACATCTACTGGCTTCGTTACAGCAAACCACAAGTCCTTCTTCCATGATATTTTTCCAGCAAAGGGGAGTCCAAAAATACTATTTCCTCCTCAGTCACTTTCATAAACGTGTAAGAGCCAACAAGTCAGACTCAGTAGCAGCTGAATATTGCACTGCCATTAACTCTGCGTACAGTTCAAGTCTGAGTGGGGTACTCATGGTGTCAGTGGAGAATAATGACAATGCTGGCTCAGTGATGTGAAGACCCAGGATGCGAAGGAAGGGGAGAACACAACAGTACCAGTCACACACTCAAGCTCAGATACTGGCTTTTGGAGGTTAAAATTCATCACTTTCAACTGCGTGGAGCTGTGTGTCATCTGCATCCGTCATGCTGCTCTCCTGGGATTCGTCTGTGCCAACTTGAAAGAAAAAGAAACACAGAGTAGTTAAACACTACTGGGCTGCTTCACTACAAAGATTCCCCCACTATCAACTCCAGCACATCAAAAGCACAGCAGCAATGGGTTCAGGCTTCCCCTCAAAATGCTTTTAAGCCATATGACTTTTTCCTTCTAGTACGCTGGCCCCTGCCAGCTTGGTCAAGTCCACATAATGCATTCAGAAAGGAATTAACACAAAGTACATATTAACAAACACACTGCCTTCATGCTGCTAAAAATCTGAAATCTGGCACCTAGTTAGGTAAGGACTGGTATGGAGGGTTCCAAAACTGCCCTAGGAGCAAATTACCTTCCCACTCCTTCAAACCATAGCAGCTGCCTGAAACACTCACATCAGTTACCCACTGCATTCGTGCATTGCGACCACTCGATTTACTACCAAACAATACTCAATTAGTAGGGTTACTCGCTCCCTGCTCCTGTGATGAAGAGTATTGCATAAGGTATGTAGTAAAAGAACTACTTTGAGTAAATGTCCACATTTCTGACGCTGAAGAATTCCTCTGCTCACTCAGCTCAGATG